ACGATATAGTGTTGATAGATGAAACTCAGGAAGGGGTAAATGCGAAGCTTAACCTTTGGAGAGAAGTGTTGGAATCTAAAGGTCTTCGCCTAAGCTGATCAAAGACAGAATATATGGAGTGCAAGTTTAGTGCAAATGGAGGCCAAAATGAGTTAGGGGTGAGGATCGGAGATCAGGAAATACCAAAGAGCGATCGTTTTCGCTACTTAGGATCTTTCTATCTTGCAAAAGAACGGAGAATTAGATGGAGATCTCAACCATAGAATACAAGCTGGATGGATGAAGTGGAAGAGTGCATCCGGCGTGTTGTGTGACCGCCGTATGCCACTGAAGCTTAAGGGAAAATTTTATAGGACGGCAATAAGGCCATCGATGTTGTATGACACAGAATGCTGGGCGGTGAAGCATCAACACGTACACAAAATGGGTGTAGCGGAGATAAGGATGCTTCGTTGGATGTGGGCACACGAGAAAGGATAAGATTAAATGAGGATATCCGAAGTAAAGTGGAGTAGCCGAAATTGTAGGAAAATTGAGAGAAAATCGGTTACGGTGGTTTGGACATGTGCAAAGAAGGCCTACTGACGCTCCGGTTAGAAGATGCGACTACGGGACAGAGGTTCAGGGCCGAAGGGGTAGAGGAAGACCTATGAAAACTTTGGAAGAGACTCTAAGAAAAGACTTAGAGTATTTGGATCTAACGGAGGACATGACACAGGACCGAGCACAATGGCGTTCTAAGATTCACATAGCTGACCCCACTCAGTGAAGAAGGCTTTGGTGTATTTAACACAATACGTTGAAATGAAGCAAAGCTTATTTATTGATATCTCCGATAAGTTTACAAATATGTACATATACATGAGTAAATAAACAAACAAGAGGGAACCTTCACAAAGGTTGGCTTAGGAGAGTCTCAGTCTCAGCAGTCGGTAGAGCCCCAGAAGAGAAGGCACCGGAGGGGGATCATTCGGAGCCTCAGTACTGGACAGAACCCTAGAAAGAGGAGGCATCGAAGGTTGATCATTTGGAGCTTCATTATGCGGTACAGCCCCAGAAAACGAAGGCAATAAATGCCTTTGGAACAAACCCACAAACCGCTGATGATCAAGTAAAACCTGACCATCAGATTCCTTCATCTGGTCAAGCTTCTTCTTCATGTTTATAGCATAGTCATGTGCGATCCGGTGCAACTGTTTATTCTCATGCTTAAGCCCTCTAATCTCCTGTTTGAGACTCATCACTTCAGCCGCCAATGATTCAACTTGGCGGGTTCGAGCAAATAGGCGCTGGGCCATATTAGACACAGAACCTGCACATTGAACACTTAGAGCTAGAGAATCCTTAACAGCCAACTCATCAGACCGTTTGGAAAGTAGTCTGTTATCTTTGGGAGTGAGAAGGTTCCTGGCCACCACCGCAGCAATCATATCATTCTTCATCACGGAATCCCCAACGGTAAAGCGGACCAGTAGGGGATAAGAAGGATGGGCGCCATAGTGTGTTTGGAGAAGCGCGTGGCTTGCCTCTTTCAACGAGGTTCAAGTCAAAACGACGGTCCGGAGGGGCCAGACATTTCACAAGGTGTTGAAGAGAGAGAGAGGTCGGACAAATCAAGATCTTAGAAGTGCAAGAAGGAGCTTCTACTGGTGAAGATTCAAGTGTGTGCTTTGGAACTTAATGCCAGCCTCTATAAAAATCTGCACTCAACGGAGCTTCAGAAATCGAAGAGGCGCCTGTCTAGAAATCGAAGAGACGCCTGCCCAGAAATCGAAGAGGCGTTTGCTTTTTCTCAAAAGCTGGGCTGCTCAAAGATTACGAGGGCCGATCTCAGAAATCGAAGAGGCGTGTTGCTTTTCTCAAAAGATGGGGCTGGCTCAAAGACCACGAAGGCCGATCTCAGAAATCGAAGAGGCGCTTGCTTTCTCAAAAGCTGGGCTGCTTAGAGACCACGAGGGCCGATCTCAGAAATCGAAGAGGCACTTGCTTTTTTCAGCCTTGTCAGCACCTGTCACATGCACACTCAGCTTTGCTGAAATTACGGGCATTCTGTTGAAAATTTCTGGTGAAGTAGAAAGCACGTGAATCTTACTGTTCAATCATCCACTTTCCACACGCACCATCAGCTCATAGGTACCACAGATAACTTTGCCAAAGATCTCTGACAAAGTTTAGACACGTGAAGCTTGCAGCTCCCACTACATCGCTATGACCAAGAAGGGTAAAAGAATAGCAAAGAAACAGCACTAACAAAGTTTATACACATAAATTTTGAAGGTCTAGCTACCATATTATTACCTACAAGGGTAAAGGAACAGCACTGCTGCTGGATAATTGGAAAGTCCTTGTGTGTCAACCTCTGTGCTCTGCTCTGTGGCAAGGTAGACTAGCAAACATGCCCAACCTTTTACTTACATTCGAGAAAACACTCCCAACAAGATTGCTTGCTCCAAAATCGAAGAGGCACCGTCCCTCCGAATCTCGAGAGCCAGACTCCCAACAATTACTTTCTCAAAAATCGAAGAGACAGCGCTCTTCGAATCTCGAGAGCTAGACTCCCAGCAGGATTGCTCTCTCAAAAATCGAAGAGGCACCGTTTTCCGAATCTCGAGAGCCAAATCCCCGACAGGATTGCTTGTACAAAAACCGAAGAGGCACCGCTTTCTCAACTTCGAGAGCCAGATCTCCTTGGATAAAGCTGGTCTGTAATCTTCACACGCAACATCAGCTTTCCAGATACTACAGACCACTTTTTCAAAGTGCTTTGACACACGTGAAGCTGGCAGCTCCCACTACCATGCTATGACCAAGCAGGGTAAAGGAATATCATTACTACTTGTTGTTAGGGAAACTCCTATATATGTCGACCTCCATCCTCAACGGACAGGCAGACCTGCAAAAATGCTCAACCCTTCCTCATATCTGAGAGGGCACTCCCAACGAAGCTTCTCGAAATACTCAGCTTTCTTTCCCCCCGATAATACCTCTGCAAACAAGCTATACCAGAGCAAGAATATCTCATATCATCAGGGTTAAAAGCAAGAGTATCACATATCATGCTTTTTCCCTGTCTTTTCCTTTGGCCTTGTTCTTACCTGCAAGACAAGGAGAAATAGAGCAATCAATCAGCATTTGGAATTAAGCTTCCAGTCAGGAACTGACTGCCTGGAAGCCCTTACCTGATTACTTACCTGGCATTGCTCTCGAGTACCCATCTTCAACATCTTATGCTTCCAGAGAAGATACCACATCTGCCTGAGGAACAGATAGGGAAAGTGAGAAGGATATAAGGAAGCATGTGGAGACAAGCGTAACAGAACACGTGCCGATACATCCACTACTTTGTCAACAGCAAAAGTATCCATATCAGCAGAGGGTTTCGAACGTACTCTAGATTTGATGGGCGTGTTTTGACCCTCAAATTCTTCAATTGGCCTTATACTCTGGAGGACACCAGAAAATCCTCCAGCCCAGTTCAAGAATAAGCCTATGGAAAGTTATTTCTTCAAAAGCAAAAGTATCTCATATCATCTATTCTCCTTTTCTTCTCTTTATCCTTCATGCTGCCTGCAAGCTAGGGAGAATAAGAACAATCAGCCGGAACTCGAAATCAAACTTCTGATCTGAGACTGATTGCTTGGAGCTCTGATTGCTTACCTTGTCTGTCACCTCTTTCAGCAGATCCCCTAGCTCGGCGACTTGGGGGACTCCTACTACATGGTTTGTATCGCACTTGACCAAGCCTGAAACTACAAGTAAGCTTCAAGTGAAATTGATACATTACCTTGTGCATCTCCACCAGTTAAAGATACCACCCCTGGATGGAGGAAGCGTACTTCCAGAGAAGATGCCACATACATCTACCTATATGAGACAGTTAAGGCAAGTGAAGACGAGAGCTTGCACCTATGTCATTTGTACTAAATCATTCACTTGTACTCACTAAAGGAGAGCTTGAACCTGTAATTACGTAAACTATGTAATTACTTACGTCTAAACCCTTGACAATTAATGAGAACTCCTCTACTCCGTGGACGTAGCCAATCTGGGTGAACCACGTACATCTTGTGTTTGCTTTCCTGTCTCTATCCATTTACATACTTATCCATATTAATGACCAGAGCAATCTAGCGAATATCACAAACTTAATACTTTCTGTTGTACCAAAGTCCTCACTGATTTTGTGCATCAACAATCCTTAAGTCCTTACCTTTTTGCGTTGGTAATGGATGAGTTAACAGGACATATTCAAGATGATATTCCTTGGTGTATCTTATGCTTTTCGCACACGATATAGTGTTGATAGATGAAACTCAGGAGGGGTAAATGCGAAGCTTAACTTTTGGAGAGAAGTGTTGGAATCTAAAGATTTTCGCCTAAGCCGATCAAAGATAGAATATATGGAGTGCAAGTTCATTGCAAATGGAGGCCAAAATGAGTTAGGGTGAAGGATCGGAGATCAGGAAATACCCAAAGAGCGACCGTTTTCGCTACCTAGGATCTATCTTGCAAAAGAGCGGAGAATTAGATGGAGATCTCAAACCATAGAATACAAGCTGGATGGATGAAGATGGTGGAAGAGTGGCTTCCGGCGTGTTGTGTGACCGTCGTAGGCCACTAAAGCTCAAGGGAAAATTTTATAGGACGGCAATAAGGCCGGCGATGCTGTAAGGCACAGAATGTTGGGCGGTGAAGCATCAACACGTACACAAAATGGGTTTGGACATGTACAAAGAAGGCCTACGGACGCTCCGGTTCGAAGATGTGACTACGGGATAGAGGTTCAGGGCCGAAGGGGTAGAGGTAGACCTAGGAAAACTTTGGAAGAGACCCTAAGAAAAGACTTAGAGTACTTGGATCTAACGGAGAATATGACACAAAACCGCGCGTAATGGCGTTCTAGGATTCTTATAGCCCGACCCACTTGGGATTAAGGTTTTGTTGTTGTTGTTGTTGTATTTGGAAAGATTTTTTGTCATGTTTTTTCTATGTGTTTTGGTTGTGGGTGTGTTCATAGTATTTTTCTTTGTAGAATTTCAAGATTTAACACCGGTGGATTTAATCTTTTTGCTTAAAATTGCTGCTGTTGTGATACAATAAAATTTATATTCACAATTTCCAATTTGACAAAATACTTTATTGCCCTGTGTTATTTTTTGTGATAAACATATGAAGACACAAAAACAACCACACATGCCTTACCCATTTAGATAAGCATTTGTATCCATGTTTACACATCTATCTTAAATGCTGTCTTGTAAAATCCAGTGGTTAATTCCAAGTTTACCATCTAATGTGCTATTAGATACTCTTTTTTTTTGTGAAATTGGATACTTTGCTTACAACTTAATAATTTGATTGCCCCTTTAGTTGCATAAACTCAGTAAAATTTTGAGGTTTTAGACACTTAACTGCTGAATCTCTACGGTTTCTTTTGTTTTGTCCAATTGTTGTCATTATTCTAATTGGGTAATTTAAGGTTTTTTACTGTGTTTATTTATTTACTGATTAATTAGTGGGTCTAAACTCTTAATTGAATTGAGGAAAACAGAGAACTAGCAAAGCTTCGTAGAGAACATGCACCTGTTTCCTGTCATCCTATATTTATTCCTTCATTTGGGTAACACAGCTTAATGAAATAAAATTTCAAAAATATGTTAATTTCACGCTTTTGATTCGAGTTTAACAATAACATTTACATTCACAGTGTATCTTTTGCTCAGTGGATAAACAGCTGTAAATGAGCTTGACTATGTCAAATTGAATGTTTTAGTTCCCACCACCTATTTGATAAAAGATAGTGCAAAACTCCTGCAATATGTGTTCAAGCTCTCCCCCTTCTCTTTCTAATTTATATTGTTTCCATACACTGAAACCATAACACTAAATTCCCAATTTATTGCCCACAATGATGTGTCTTATATCTCATCGAGAAGCTCTCAAGTCCACCGCACTGTCCAACTTTTTTGCCCACTTCAGGTACTGCTTTTAGCATCAAAATCCTATGTATGTCTAACCTTTCTTCGCATTTTCAGTTGTTTTAGTGAAATGATGTGCATGAATTAATACAACATAAACTTACATAGTTTGTGAATTCAACCATTGAGGCTTCTAACTGGGTTTTGATTGTTTCACTGAACTTTTATACGTTTCAAATGTTTAAACATTGACGCTTCTAGCTGAATTTTCATTGTTTGGCTAAACTTTTATGCTTCATGGTGCCTGTGAAATATAAGTTCACCATTGGTACATAATTAAGATTTGATTTGATATCATTCAGGTTTGATTCGTTCAACGCTCTTGATTGTTTTTTTCAAGCCAACTACTACATTTTCCAACAAATTTACAAAGAACAACCAAGCTGGATTACAGCCAGATTCCGTCAAATTATATCACTATTGGTATTGCAGCTGCCCACCTTACAGAAATTACAAGGTTTGCTCCACTCTATTCTTCTTTGATACATTTCATTCAAATTCGTATATTTCGGTAAGAAACAAACTTTTATCTATTCCTTGAGTTAGGCAGAGTTGTAAATATAACTTTCTACATGTTGTATGCTGTTTAAAAACACGCAGCATCGCACGGGCACCTTTGCTAGTGATATTCTAAACTACAATGATTTATGGGGAAAAGGGATTCAAACTCGGGCGGCTAATGTGTTTGCTTTTTGTTCTTTTGGGCAATATGGGTTGTCTATGGATTTTGTTCACCGGAGGATTTCATTTTTATGATAATGAGTGGAAAATTCAAGTGGATAGTGATTCGAACTCGAGTGCATGCAGGGGATGGAACCGTTGGAAGGCGTTTTTTTTTTTTTTTTTTGAAGCAGTGGTTTTGGGTTGATTAAAGAGTTCTTCTTTGGTTGTTAATGTAGCTGTTTTCTGTTCTTATGTAAAAATATTGGTTTTGCTCTAAAAGAATCTCTGAATATGTTGTACTTGTTGTTATGTTTTCTGGATTGACTAATGGGCTTTTTGTCTACCCTTTTGTGGAGCAGATGTGATTTATTTGTGTAAAATTTTTGGCACCAAAAAGAAATTATGGCACTGAGGAAGAAATTGTGCGAGAGATCCAATTTCAATGGCAAAATTATGGACAACTTTGCAAGGTATTACAGGTCAAAGATGGACTTAAGGAAGCTAAAGCCTATGATTCAAAAGAGAATCCAAAATCGAGCTAAAGATTACCCAGTGCCAGCCATGGTACCAGTTGCCTAGGAGGTCCTTGATTCCCGGAGGCTTGTTATGCAAGGTGTTTCTACTCTCCTCAAAATGGTACCAGTTTTGGCCTGCAAGTAAATCCCTCATCTGCCAAGTATTTTTTTACTTGTAAAATAAATTCTTTTTAAGCTTTGAACTACTAGGCACTCTATTGTTCCATCGCATAGTTACTGACATGTCCTGGAATAATACCGACTTTGAAGCTCCAGAGTTGATGTTCTGTATTTCTTGTTTAGGAATAATTAGACCACTTTATCTGCATGTTCCTGGCTCCTGAGCTCCCTAAATGTTATTTTTAGTAGCAGCACAAGCTATGTTTTCCAAACTAGATTTATCTAATTGACCTTCCGTTCTCCATACAGCTCTTTTTGAACAATTTCTGTGACTCAACGAAAGGCCTACTTTTTGCAGGTTCTGTCTAGAAGTATATATAGGTGAGAAAGGCCACTTAATTCAGACTTGTTGTGGCTTCAAACGTCGTGGCAAAAATTGAGTTCATGAATGGATAGTTGGTGGTTTGAAAGATGTGCTTGTTCCAGTAGAGACATTTCACCTCAAGCACATGTTCCAGGATGTTATAAAACACCATCAGAGGTTTGACTTTGAACGTGTTCCTGCAGTTGTCGAGCTATGCTGGCAAGCAGGGGCTAATGATGGAAATCATTTAAATTGGAACTCTGAAAGTGATTGTGTTGGCGTTGATGGAGCTGAGTCTTTGTCATCTGATGAACTGATTCTGGTTGCCAGTGGAACTTTAAGGGCATGGGATATACTTAGAAATGGCGTGGAGAAGTTGCTGATGGTTTATCCAGCAAAAGTCTGTAAACATTGTTCAGAAATTCATGTTGGGCCATCTGGGCATAAGGCTAGGCTTTGCGGAATTTTTAAGTATGAGAGTCGGCAGGGAACCCATTTTTGGAGGAAGGCGAATGTAGATGATCTTGTACCTCCAAAGACTGTATGGCGGCGGCGTCCTCAGGATCCTCAAGTACTTTTGAATGAAGGGAGGGGATTTTATGGGCATGCTCCGGCAGTAGTAGAACTATGTACACAGGCAGGTGCCATTGCACCTCCAAAGTATCACTGCATGATGAAACTGCAGGGTGTAAGTACCACACTTGGAGATCAAAGGTTGCTCCACCCGAATGATCAAATGAAAATGCCGGTTGATTCGAAGGTAGAATATTGAACCTAGCAGAAGCTCCCCAGGACCGTTGGATCACAGATGGGTGTAGAATTGCTTATAGCTGTAATGCTTGATGATCTGAAATGGGAAAACGAAACACCTCAAAAGCTCCCTTTAGATGGTCTGATCTTCAATCTTGAGAATGATTGTAACATCAGATGACTGACAACGGAGTTCAAGATGGGTTGCAAAATCAACTGAACGCGTATTGCCCCTTTCAGTTGGAGCATGAAAGAGATGATCGAATTTGTAGCTTTGCTTTAGCAATGCACGCAGAAACAGGAACGTGGAAATTTAATTAAGCTTTTCTTGTATTTAATGATGTTTTTAGATGGGTAATTCAACTTAATAAATCATTGGAACGCTTATTACTTATGCTTCTCTGTAGATCTTCGGTACTATGACTAGTTTACGATTGATTTTCAGCTATAGGATTACTGTTCTTGTGCATATCAATGTTTACTGCGATAGACTGTCCCCAGATGCCTCAGAAGCAATTGCCTCTACTCATCGACTGTGCTCGAGTCTTCAGTTTCACCAGAATGCTCATCGCATCGAGCAAACTCGAGGCAGTTTGTACCACAAGACTCAATCTCCTCGACGGAGGGTCGCTCTTTATTTCATTCATGGTCTTGAGGAACAATAGGATCTCGGAAAATTGACAAATGCCGTACTCGCTCAAGTTGCGAAATTCGTTTTCCAACTCGATTCCACAGAAAAAAGAGTGACATTCTTTTGATGGGTGTGCCATCACCCGCACACAGTTTCTGTTCTATTCTATTCAATATGATGCTCCTTTTCGATGATTCGAATCAAACTTTTGACCTAACTTAATCTGAATTTATTCTTATGTTCAAATCACTTTTAAAATATGCAGTCTTGGTTATATCAAATGATCATATCAGTGTGTCCGCACTCTTGGGTTATGTCAATTGACCATAGCAGTGTGTCCGCCCTCTTGCACTCATATTCAAATCTATCTCCTGGTACATAGATTAGAATATTACCTTATACATTATAGAAAAATTTATTTCAAAAAATACCAAGCAGTTGAAACAGAACGTACATGTAGTGTATACTACGAGCCTACGAGGCTGTCACCACCCAAGAAAACTAGTAAGATCTAACTGGTAGAACATGTCTAACTCTCTACTGGATGAATTGTAGGATCGCAGAGCTTAGACATCGTCAAATACTTGAAAATACATATTGTCCCGTTTACAGTTTCATTCGAAGAAGCTGGACCTTGGCTGGAGGTAGCAGAAACTTTGTTTATTTTGGTAGTTCCTCAATGAAAATTATATTTTTGTGTGTATTTTTTGGGTCATGATTGCCACTCGTCGCCCTCTGTGAGACCGTGTCCAAACTCCCATACAACTTGAGACATTAATAAGCTTGACAACGCGGTAGGACGAGCACGACCTTGAGACAATGAGAATCTTGCTAGGTCAAATTCATGACTACGTCTTTGTATGTTGCATTATCTTATATATATATAGCTGTATCCTACCGGTTTTGACTTTTATTTATTAAGCGAGTAATTTCTTCACGGAAGTAATTTTCGCACTCAATTTTTACCTTTTTAATTCTTGTTCTATTTCAGTTAGTCAACTCTATAATCAGAAATAAGAGGAGAATTGTTGAAGGAGAAAAAGACCAAAATAAGTGGAGGATCACAAAACGAAAAATTGAGAGTGTAAAAATTACTACCCTTAATCTTCTCGACAAGGTACTTGATTATTAAGAATTTTTTTTTAGATTCGACAGAAACATGTTGAACTAGTTTATCACTATTTTAGAGAGATCAATTTGCAGTTAATCATATATATCCTTGCCTAATTAAACTCGTTTTCAGCTCGAGGGATCACGTTAAGGACACCTAATATATATATATATATATATATATATATATATATATATATATATATATATATATATATATATATATATATATGATCATCAATTGTCAAAGTAAAAAACAGAACAATGCCATTGTATACATCATATTTTATTATGTTATACTGTAACAAGTTAAGAGTATTAATAATTAGTTAGTGATTGAAGAGTCATGGGCCATTTATTTTTTCATGGGCAATTTTTTTTTCTTAAAAAAGAAAAAGAGAATAGTTGGTGGTGTTGCTAAGGCAATCTACTTTTTTGGAGATGGAAAAACTCACAAGGGCATTTCAATCACCCTATCTGATAACCATCATGTAATTCACCAGCGCCAGAATCAAACGCACGACATGTATACGTGTTTAGAGAGCTTATTAATGATCAAAATCATAAGGAATTGATTTTCACACATTATTTTTAGATTCTCATGCACTCATTTTTATTTATGACCATCAAATTGAACAAATCAAACAGAATCAACGATCCTGATTAAACAAGAGTGTATAAAAGGCTAAAACAAGTATGAAATTACTTTCCAAACCATATATTTGTTTGATGATTGTCATCACCTTCATTTGCGTCATGGGAAATTAAATAGTGTCTAATGCAAATTGTATTATTTAATAATGCGGTGCCTTATCTGAAAGCCCTAAAATCATCTGCATGAAGGAGCTAGCTGCATAATCATAACCTAACTCTATACATTATTGTTTAATTTGATTCTAATAGTGTGCAAGCAATCGATTTTTTAACATGTGGGCGGTTCTTAATGCTTTTGAATTATTCTCGGGTTTTTTCCCCGATCAAAGACATTCTGTTTGAAACATTTAACTTTATATTTGGGAAATGACTTACACAAACTCGTTTTCTTCTTCTGCACAATTATATTTATTTTTGGCACATGATTTTTTTTGTCACTTAATTCAAAAGTCAAAATAGCTAAGAGTGTACAAGTGAAAAAAATAAGAGTATGAAAATTATTTCCCATTGAGTGAAGGGATGCTTTCAAAAATCATCTCAACCTCCACTTAAGAAGCATAAACAAATCTTCATATGATGGTATCTCTCAACGAAAACTGCTCAATTGACTGAATGCTAAGATTTGCCTGTAAATTAAAAACTGACATATACCGAACCGACTTATTAAAATACAAAAGAAAAATATATACATACATGTCAAATTGTGATTGGTAAAGAGAAATTGCTCCTTGCATATAAGGAGCCAAGTATTGTCTCTCTTTACCTGTAATTTCTGTTGCCTTCAAGTGACTGCGAAAGAAGTTGTTCACTTCTATATGGAAGGTGAAGATGAAAGCTACAAACACATTAGATGGTGCAAATAAAATATTTTATGAGTTTATAAAGAAAGCAGAAATTAGGGTATTAATTATTTGTCGACTCGTTTTTTCGGTTCTTATTATTATTATTTTTTCCATCATTTGTCAACTCGTTTTTTCGGTTCTTATTATTATTATTTTTGTATGAGGACGTTGTCAACTCGATTGTTTGCTGAAGCCTTAACAAACGTTTTAGATAATATAAAGTTCATAAAATAACTTAACGATGACAAGTTCAAAGGCCTAAACATAACTATAAAAACCAGACATGCCTAGCTTCAATTCCATCCATCTCTCTAAAGACAATGGCTTTTCAAAAGATCATCTCAGTCTTTCTTCTTCAGGTTCTGCTTGTTTTGTTGGCCTTAGACTCGAGCAATGCGCAGAAATTGAAAGTCGGGTTCTACTACAAAACATGCCCTGATTTAGAGGCTATTGTGGCAAGGACTACTTATCAATACATATCTAGGGCATCAACTCTTGCTGCTCCTATTCTAAGGATGCATTTTCATGATTGTTTTGTTAGGGTAAGTGATATGTCGTTTGGTTGTGTTACTTGTCTCATGTAATCCATCAAGTCCTGCTAATGACACAACAGTTTCTGTTGAAAACTGTCCTTCAAATTATTTTTAATTGCACAACAATTGCTAATTACCGAATTTTGCAAAGCAACTAATTCCTTTAAATTTTAATTTTCAGGGATGTGATGGTTCTGTGCTATTGAATTCCACACCAAACAGTCAAGCTGAGAAAGAAGCCATCCCCAACCAAAGCTTAAGAGGGTTCCATGTCATTGATGCAGTAAAATCTGCAGTAGAAAAGAAGTGTCCTGGTGTCGTTTCTTGTGCTGATATCTTGGCCTTAGTAGCTCGTGACGCAGTTAGAATGGTAATAAATTAAACTCAATCCACATAAATCAATAGTTATTAAATGTATTATTAGATTAAGAATAGTTATTCAATGTATCATTAGATTAAGAATGGATGTCTGTTCTTTAATTAAGAAACGGACATCATGTGTAAGTGACTTGTAGTTCAAGGGCTAATTATTAGGGATTTTTTACTAAACCCCAGATCTTAGGTTCGATTCCTTTATCTCTCGCTATCATTGCTTTCATTTTTATAAATAAAAAGAATAAACATCAATCATGCTTCATGCATGCACATAAGATTTTTAGCTCTTAAATAATCATATATTTGGCTTAAAATGAATGAATATTTTTTTTTCCAGGTTCATGGCTCATTTTGGGAGGTTCCGACTGGACGAAGAGATGGAAGAGTGTCATTAGCCTCAGAGGCCAATAGAGGCTTACCTCCTCCTTTTGCTGACATAACTCAACTCAAAGCAATATTTGCAGCCAAGGGTTTAAGTGCTAAAGACCTAGCGGTTCTGTCAGGTGAATATTATTACGTTTACATGCAAGTTTTATTTATCTATTTTATTTATCTATTTGTTTTTGCTTCATGAAACCCTAATCAACATGATCTGATCTCACTTTTCTTCATTGTTCTTAGGAGGACACACCATAGGCACATCTCACTGCCCGTCCTTCACAAATCGCTTGTATAACTTCACCGGAAAAGGCGACACAGACCCGAAATTGGACAAAAATTATATAGCTCGGCTGAAGACAAAATGCAAGCCAGGGGACACGACTAACCTGGTTGAGATGGATCCTGGAAGCTTCAAAACGTTTGATGAAGATTACTACACTCTAGTAACTCAAAGAAGAGGACTTTTCCAGTCTGACTCAGCTCTTCTTGATGATACTGAGACAAAAGCCTATGTGACAAAGCAAGCCACAACTCGTGGATCCACCTTTCTAACAGATTTCGGTGTCTCAATGGTGAATATGGGTAATATTGGAGTCCTCACAGGCAAAAACGGTGAAATAAGGAAGCAATGTGCTTTTGTTAATTGAAGGCAATTAACTTCTATATACATTGGGAAATGATTTTTGTGCACTTATTTTTCTCATTTGTTTTCTCCTTTGATTTCTACAATTCGAAAGCTAGAATAAGAAAGGGTGAGTAGAAAGAGAAAAATAGTTTGAGGAAATCACTTCCCGTGGACATTTTTATTCAGCTGGTGATTTGAATTTGCAATTGTGAGTATGAATGTTTGCATAATTGATAATGCATGTATGTGTTGTGTGTTCCAAAAAGGGTTGCAACCAAAATTGGTTAACAAGTCGTGTGATGATTTTGGACTGCCATGGTGGGAGCCTTTCAACACCATATCCTGTAAATGTTTTATTATTTCGTTTTTATAAATATTTCAAATCAATAAGGCTTGAACATTATTCGATTGAGACAGAACATTGGTTTCTATACAAAAAGGGTCGGGCATAATTGATGGCCAACTTTCATCAACGTGTTCTGTTGTGCTGATTATTATATCATATGGTCCGGCGTTCACCAATTAGATATGGGATAATTTAATATCACAACTAGAACATTTACACATTGATAAATTAAAAAATAAACAACTAAAATTCATCAACTTTTGAGAAGAACATGGATTGCACTTCGAAAACTGAAAGAGAATAAGCTTGCTGTAATTTGTATGGGAATTGTTATTAGTACTCCAAAAATTTCATTTGGCATTCCAAATTTTCTATAATTAGAAAGAAAAATAAACTTGTGAAGAGTGTAAAATGAAATTTTTGAAGTGCTAATAACAATTCCCTTGTGTATATTCATTCATTTGTCTATTTCCATATAAAACTAGTGACACGAGAATATCTCCACCTAGATAGAAAGAATTAATAAATTAAAACAAAATTTCCTTCAAAAATACATAATAACAAACCTCTTTCTATGCATGAAAGTAATATATTAGAGCAATTATTATTCCTTCAAAAATCATAATATACTAATTTATAACCAACTCTTGTATGTATGCTTAAAAGTCCTCACTTTTAGTACTACTTTTTTTAACTTTAATTTTCATTATTGAAACCCTAAAGCGGATTCTCGTAAATTGTTTTCCAGTGAAATGTCTAAACCCCTAGAGATACATCTTTCCATGAAAGGAGTAAAGAGCTACAGATATGCTAGATTTTACTAATTTGCCTTGCATTGTTACTCCGATAGAATCTTAGGCCCGAAACTTCATAGAGATATGGACAGGGATTAAAGAAGTGACTTCAGCGATTGCCCCAGCTAGCATATATAACTAGATCCAGGCTTCGTGCATTTACCCGCATTTCGCTACATCTAAACCGTTATAACAATCTATCATTTAAAACATGACATGTCAACCTAAAATTGAGTTTAGTTTTTCTTTTAAAAAAAAATACTCATAAGGACGTTTATTATTTGCAGTTTGTGTATCCTTTTTCTTGCATTAACGACTTTGTCTTTCTGTGAATTTCTGCGCTCCCTTCATTGTGGCTCAATAGAAAGTTTCCCATGATTAATCCAACTGCAAGTGAAAATGTAATTCTATCCAGATGCGTAGTCCCCTGTGTGTTCTTTATTCATAAATTGTTTTCGTGCATGTTTTGGAGAGGAAACAAACTATGCAACTGCTTGTAATGGCCAGCTCCTCCATCTCCTTCTCTCTATGATCTCCTTATTTCTGCTTCTTTCACATGATGTGACATGACATTGGAGAACCAGTAAGGCCTTCCATCCCAATAAATAATCAAGGCCCTCTTTCTATTCGAAACACACGCGGGAAAATAGGCGCCATGATTAATTAAAAGAAGAAGCCTATGTTTACTTGATTGAATTTGAAGATTCCTTCAACCATGAGCGAATTTCCAGTGAGCCACAAACAGGAGACGGAACACTAGTGAAGAAGGAACACGACGAAGATGCACAAAAGCAACAATTGATGAAGGGGAACAAAACCTAACTTCTCAGTTTGAAATACTTTTTAGAAATTGTTATTGACACTTTAAAATTTTTATTTTAAACTTTAATTTTTTATAATCATAAAGAAAAATATGTTTGTGAGAAGTGCATAATTAGATATTGAGACACTGAGGAGGCCTAAGGTTCATCAGCTCGACTCGATTGATTTGTTCTTTGCCATTTTGTCATTCATTGCTTAATATATATTACTTTCTGTAACAAGGGCAGATAGCCAATCATTGATAAGAAAATTGGATAGGTTGGAAGAATGATGAAATTAAAAACGCCAGTATATATATATATATGTGTGTGTGTGTGTATAAAAGCCGTCATCATTGAATATTAAAATTTTTATGTACAAAGTTAATCCAATTTCCATATGATGATGACATTGTTAAATGATGTTGTGAAACCGTGTATCATAATATGGGTAAACGACAATCAGACCAAAAAATTGATACTCATTTGTAATTAAGGCACAATTAGTTTAATCTCCAACTGCCATGAAAAATGACATGAAATTTGGTGGCAACGAGACCAAAAAAATATGTGCTGTCACACGCTAGCTTCAAACATAATCCATCACCAAAGTACAAAAACATTCCAGATATGGGATTTTCTTTACTTGTCTTACAAGGAACAACTTTAACTGCTAGTACTAGTTATAATATTAAGGAAAGGATATAGAATCGCCAAAAAGCATGGTAGTTGGACGTCACCTTGCAATTTCTTATCTTGCACTAGGCCCACAAAGTTGAAGTTGGGGGTGGAGGCCTATAAATTTCAAATCACAGTTATGTAATTGCCAACACATTCAAATCAAGTTTCTTCCTCTAAATTACTACAAGTTGAAGATCAGTTGCAACGAAAATGGGGTTGATTCGATTTTCTGGGATTTTGGTTTCATGTCTTCTGGTGATCATAGGCTTCAGTGAAGCTCAGTTGCAATTGGGATTTTATTCCAAGAACTGCCCAAAAGCAGAGAAGATTGTGAAAGACTACATCGAGAAGCATATCCACAATGCACCCTCACTTGCAGCTGCTCTCATAAGATTGCACTTCCATGATTGCTTTGTCAGGGTATGTGACCATCTTCTTCTCTTTACAGACCAACATTCTCTGCAACTGTATTAATAGGGTTAGAATTGTAATTTGGAACTAATGAATGCTTGTTGCTTATTAGGGTTGTGATGCATCCGTTCTTCTGAACTCGACTTCAAGTAACCAAGCTGAAAAAGATGCTCCCCCAAATCTAACCGTCAGAGGATTTGACTTCATTGACAGAATAAAGAGCCGACTTGAAGCTCAATGCCCTGGAGTAGTTTCCTGCGCAGATGTTATTGCTTTGGCAGCAAGAGATTCCATTGTTGCAACAGTAAGACCTACCATCAAAGTTCAAAAACCAAAATAATCAAATGTAGTCCCAATTCTTCATTAGATTTTCATCTTTGTTTATTTATTTTCTTGGCATGGTGTGTAGGGAGGTCCAACTTGGAAGGTTCCAACAGGTAGAAGAGATGGGGTGATCGCAAGGAGGGCAGAAGCCTTAGCCAACATCCCACCCCCATTTTCGAACTTCAGCACTCTCCAAAGAACTTTTGCCAACGTGGGTCTTGATTTGAAGGACTTGGTCTTGCTATCTGGTAAAGCTAATTCTTGAAATATACAGGACAATGTTCTCTTATCAGACTTATGTTGTCACACTATGAATCAAGATCACACATTATAAACGATAGTTAACTTGATCAATAGGTCAAATTTTATAGTCTTACTAACATACAATAACCAGTGGCATTAGTTGCACGGAATAAAATGGATAAAAAAATCAATTAGTAGTTAATAGGTTGCTAAAGGCATATCAGTGGCTAATGGGCTTATGCACCTAATCACACCACATGGGTTAATTTGCTCCTTTTTTTTTTTTTCAGGTGCTCACACAATTGGGGTCTCTCATTGCCCATCATTTTCAAACCGCCTTTACAATTTCACCGGAGTGGGTGACCAGGACCCGGCTTTGAACGCCCAATACGCAGCCAATCTCAAGGCCAACAAGTGCAAAACTCCAACTGATAACACCACAATTGTTGAGATGGACCCTGGAAGCGTCCGTACTTTTGACCTAAGCTACTACACACTTTTGCTCAAACGGAGAGGGTTGTTTGAATCCGATGCTGCTTTGACAAGCAGCTCAACCACTCTTAATTATATCAACCAGCTGCTCAAAGGTTCACTGCAGAACTTCTACGACGAGTTTGGAAAGTCCATGGAGAAAATGGGTCGGATTAACGTTAAGACTGGATCGGCTGGTGAGATTAGGAAGCAGTGTTCAGTTGTGAATAGCTAGAAAACGGAAATCTTTGGTTAATTTTCAGTGTTTTTTTTTTTTTTTGGTGTAATAAAAATGGCAATGTTCGTGAACTGCATGCATGTAATGCTTTCTGATATTATATTGTTTTGTATTAATAAGGTTGAGGCTTGTCATTGTCTTCGTGTACGTAAATACCAAATCATTATAAAAAGGGGGGAGAATAAGGTCTTTGTATCTTAGTCAAACCACAAATTATGACTAATCACTACTTCAACGACGTGATTTGTTCACTACTTTAATGGCTAATCACGAAAAAAAATATCACTTAGTATTGTTTAGCCATAATAAATTTAGAATTTTGGTGAAACAACTATGCATCATTCTATATGCTTAATCAAGTATAGACTTCTTAAACGCTAGTTAGTAACTTAATACGACGCTAATTAATTACATGTTTGGGCTCGTTTCCACAATAATTTCCATTATATGACTTTTTTTTTATTTGTATGTATAGATCATTGTTAAAAAAATTCGTCCAAATCGAAAAACATTTATACAGCCATTTGATTATTACAGTGAAATAATATTTATACTATAATTTCACAAATAAGAAAAATACGAATGCTAGAACTGACACTGGGCTTTTAGGTTTCGGTTAACTTAAAATGGGCTTGAACTCTTTCATTTGGCCCATTTTTGGTATAGCCGTCAAAACCCTAAACCCCACCCCTAATTTCCATCTCTCACATAAACCCTAAGCCTATATATACAACCAACTTTCATCTCCCATCTCTGCAACCTCCCATCCCTTCGCTTCGCCTCCGCCGCCATTACTGGCCGAATTTTTCTTAGATACCAAAATCTAGGGATTTGAATCGAATTCGAATTTGTGCAATTCCTCTGTGTTCTGTGGAGTGAGAAGTGTGCGGTGATGAGGCAATTTTGTGGACTAGAGTTTATGATCTGGGTTCTTCTCCCAAAAGTTTGATTACAAACCCTTGGCTGTCTGAGCACACCTTCTTCTTTTCCCAATCCAATTTCGAATTTAAAAAATTGCTTTTCAAAGATTACCCATCTCATCTTTTTGGATTTTATCAATAACCCATAAATTTGTTTTGTCTAATCCTGCAAAAAAATTAGGGTTTTTGGTATGATTTGTTTTGTCTAATCCTGCAAAGTTAGGGTTTTTCGTTAAATTGGGGCTTATGATGATAACATACAATTATCTTAGCGGATTTCAGTGAGCCCTCTTGGTCAATGATCTGATTGTTACACACACTGAGGCTCAAATTCAATTTTTTTGTTTTTTTTTTATTCATATAATTTTTTTTTATTTTAGATTAATTAATTTTGGAAATTGTGAATGTTTTGATTGATGGGTTGTGGTTGCAATGATGAGATTAAACACTTGGACGTGTTTTGGGCAGTGGACGAGGCCTCTTTTGGGGTTCTTGCCGTGAGCTCATCTAACAAAACGACTTCTCCTTCCACTGAGCTCCCACTCCCCCACATTATTTTTGAATTTATATTAAATATTTTTGTTAATTTTTGGATGAAATTGTAAGAAAGATTTGAAACTTGCGTCCATTACCAATTCTAGAGGATTATTTGGTTCCTCCTGATGTAATGGCTCGGACGCCAAATTCATTATTGTGGCTATTCTGATCAGTGGATTCGCAATGCCATTGGATCCGGGAAACTCCACATACATTCGTACACTCCAACAAATTCATGCCAATAGTCATAAGTGCTTTTAGTGATGAGCGAAGTGCTTTTGCATTCTTATAAAAGAACGATGAACAAATTATCCTGAACAAATCAACCAATAAAAGTGCTTTTGACTAATGCTCTTAAAGATTTTAACTTTGTAAACTGAGAGGGGCTTTTCTCCTTTTGTACTTTACCAATAGAAGGATTCAAAACAAAACTCGGTGTCCTTGATCTTCATTTTGGCCAAAACGGTGAAGCCAGATGGAAGTAACCGAGAAGTTTACTGTCCGGTGGTAGTTTTTCGTCGACAAATCCGCTTACCGAACCCCATCACCGGCGATTAAACTTGAGGTTTTAGGGCCGGAACGTGAGACGATTGAAAATTTTGGACCAAAAGTTTAAGAGCCATGGTAATTACTTGAACTTGTATTTACAAAATCAGAAAAACATTCTGTTGATTGAAGGGCAAAAACGGCTTAAAAGTACAGGTAAAGCAACACAAACTGTATAAAACGAAAATAACAAAGGCAGTTGCCCGCCTCCAACGGGCAACTGCGAAAATCCACACCAATTGATTGGGAGTAAAATGGATGGATTCAAATATTTGGTGGGAGGAAAAAAAAAAAGGCTCCAACTTCTAGTACGTTTTCCCTCGGGTAATTGGTAGTATTGCTCAACAAAAAAGAATCACATGGTGTATATTGGCTGACCTTCAACCTCTCATTCAGTTGTTCAGTATCCATTTTCCGAGCTTTACTTCCTCTTGGATGCGAGATAGATGCCTGATACTATGGCCGCCCCAGTTACCGCGACACCCAAAGATTTAAGGATCCTCGCGGTGGTAAAAAAGGACTTTTGTGATGGAATTACCATAAGATCCTTCATCTGCAATACATGGTAAAACACAGAGCACCGAAGTTTAGAGACTAATTGTAGGAAATACTTGTCAAAAAATGCAAACACATACTTTCTATTCTAGAAACCATCAACGAAAAATCGGATCCAGAAAGCAAATCTAAGGAGCATTATTGGGAAAGGAACTGATTTTCCTGTACAATCACTACCGACGAGTTGGGATAAGATACAAACTATAAAATTTATTCAAAAGGAAGGATTCACCAACCACAACAGGCTGCTGCCAATGCTTCTTAATTCCTTGGAGGTGCCCCTTTCCCACTACTGCAACTACTGAACGATGCTCGCTGGCAATTCTCAGTAATGTAGACGACATGTACCTAAATATTCAACAATTAAAATCAAGCAATCAGATCAACAAAACAATAAGACTCCACAACATTCAGTTATCTAAGGTCTTTGGAGGTGTCCTATGTTTTAATTGAATAGGTGCCCTGACAGATAATATTTAAGGCCGTAGGAGAACTGAATGTGGAAAATGTCCACAAATCAAAATGAAATTTGTTTATCTACACACCCCAACCTCCACAAGCATATATAGAGCTCGTACTTAGATCATACAAGAGTGTATATACAGCCAATAATCATCATCAGCGCCGTTCCTTAGTCTACATCGAATTTACTTTCAGTGTGGACATAAGAACTTGTTTAATAACTAAACCTCTGTGATGAAGAAAATGTTCACAATATAAGGGCAGAAAAGAAACAGAAAATTGTGAAAGGACAAAGGTATGCAGATGTGGCATCATCTTTTGATCTTTGCATTAGTTTGATTGAATAATTAGCTCAGAAGAATACTTACTGATCTCGCTCATGTACGAGTGTTTCCATTAGAGTTGGGTACTCCTTGCTCATCTCTTGAATCACAAGAGTAAGCATGTCAACATCATCCATTTCCTTAAGCTGAATATACACAAGAACAAATCATTAATCCCAAGAAACTAAACATTAGCAGAATGGAGGAGTAGTTGTCTTTCAACAAATCAAGTAGATGTTTACCATACTATTAAGAGCATCGGGACTTGGTAGAAAGACAGCTTGAAAAAGTAAGGAATATAGCAGTTTTATCTTATGCCAAAGTGGCATCTTTGCCCACGTCCTTCGCAAGGTAATCTGTTTTCAGTCAGTGTAAAGTCATATATCAAAGTAATTCTTCACCAGGAAAATTATACAAAGTCTGAAATACGGATATATAAGTATGGAAAGCCAGCTTGAAAAAGATGAGTTATTATAGCAGGGTCGGCGTAAAAGAGAACCAAGAAACATAAAAGTAAGACAATTAACATGCATATATGCAATAGATACTAGAATTTTGAAACTGCCACCAAATTTGCAAGGAATGGACTTGAAAGAGAACTTCGGGCATAAACTTTCTGCAAGTCTGGTTTATGGGTTTCATCTAGAGAGCATCTTGTCAACAAAAAAAGCAAAGCTATAGCATTCGATTGGAAGAAATCTCATCATAATCAGCCTTTAAAATGAAAATGCACTTTCATTACACATCAAAATTACTTGTGTAGCTGATAAATGTTTCTTCGGCCGAAGAGTGGAATGTAGCCAGGGGTGCATTGGGCAGGCTGCAATTGATAGATATCAGAAAACCAAAATGATAAGGTATAATGTATTATACCTGCACGGGGCGATCACCAAGTATCACCCTACCGCCATACTTCATTGCTTCTTCATACGCTACACGAAACTCAGCACCAGGAAACACTTCAAGCCTACTTGAAACCTAGCAGAAAAATGACACGAAAAATTCCACCGCTTGAATATACTGAGAACATATGGAAATTATGCTGGGTATAGTTGGATCAAAGATGAAAACATGCCTTTGCAAGGAACCAGCTGTAAACAATTCCAAAGGCATTGTGCTTTTTCTTCCACATTTCAATCATTTCTCCCATCGTCGGTACCTGATGAATTAAATGCATTGGTAATCATGTTTGGTTATTCAAAAACTAACGCCGAACCAGAACATAGACTCAGACCTTCAAATTCTGAGGGGTGAGTGCCGCCACTCGACTCGAGCACAACTCCAAGAAGACAACCTACATTCATCACACGAAAATTCGTCAACTGTATTATAATTTAATATAATTTCATGACACTGTTGTCCGAATTAACTTAATATAAACCTTATTAAGCAAGTTTCAAAACGGATTATGCACCTCTGGTTTCAAATAGCTGATCACGGCTTCAACTTCTCTGCACGACTCCTACAAACCACACACAAAACCAAAGACCAAGGCTTTCAATTCAAATTTTCTCACCAACCAAACAGGAATTGAATTCTCTTACCACCGAAACGTGTGCCGTTCCAACCAGGTGCACGTCGCAAACGCCGCCCTCAGCCGTGGACTCACAAGTGAGCACCACCACGCTCCTCGACAGCTCCTCAGGAAGAAACCTCCTCTGTTCGAAACTCTCAGCCACGGCGGTCATCGAAATGCCGTCGTCGTACTCATCCCTCGGCGCATCGACGCCTACGATGCTATCGGACAAATCCTCAGTCGTAGGGTTCTCTATGTGGACAAAGTTTTCGGCTGACGCCGGGTCGGGCAAAGGTGATTCCGCGTCCATCAGGGGCCGTATCGGTTCGCGCTGACGCGGACACCCGTCGGTGGCAGAGGAAGCAAATCTGAGATTCCTGACGGTGGAGAATTGCGCGAGGGAGTTAGGAGAACGGCGGAGAGAGAGGAAGACGCGGCGGGACTCGGGCGAGTAGAGTGAGGCGACCAGGCGGGTCGAGCGAATCATAACACTTTTGTCAAGGACAGAACAGTACGCTACTGGTGAATGCATATATATGATCTCATGGAGACACGTGTACGGTCAATGATGAAGTAGTATTGTATGTATATATAAAAGGCTTCCCTTTCTTCCTTTCTCGCAACTTAGCTCTTACGCTTCCGATATTCTGATTGGGGAGATGGCGGATAGGAAGCTGTTCAAGACGAAGCTATGCGTTTTGTATCAGAGAGGGCGGTGCGCGCGGCAGAGCTGCTCGTTTGCTCACGGGGAGGTGGAGCTCCGTCGCTTCTCGGGCGGATCCTTTCACGGTAATATTAATATTTGCTTCACGTTGGTTTTTTCTCTTCAGTGACCTACTCTGAAGCTCTGCTTATCTTATGAAAGTGGGTTTTTTTTTTTAATTTAATTTTTTAATTTTTGGGTTGAAGTTGAACTTGTAACTGTATTGGGGTTGCACAGAATTATAATTTACTGTCAAATTTTGATAATTTATAGTAATTTTTGTAGATTTTAAGTCATATGTTTGCATATTTTTCTTTGAAACTACATAATTTACTATAATTTTAATGAATTCTGTTTACTTGAATGAATTCAAGTGATTAATTGCTCTCTCTCTCTCTCTCTCTCTCTCTCTCTCTCTCTCTATGTTGAAATTGTCTTCTGTTTTATGATCATCTAATGCAATCCTTCCCATGTTTGAAACAATGATGTGTCTGCAATTCGGATAATATATTATTTTTCGTTCGATGGAGCAAATGGGAGCATGTATGTTTACAGACTCGGGAGTCGGGAGTTAAAAGTACTATTCCAGAATGATTGCAGATTTAGTCATTCAGTGGTTAGGGCTGCTATCAAAATCTCTTCTTGAGAGACATGTAGCGTTGTCAGAATATCAAGGCGTATGAAAATTCCCAAGTTCATGTCGACGAGCAAGGTTATCGTATTGATTCAGTATGGATTGTCCCTGGTGGTTTATATTGAAGCAAATTCCTATTGTGGTATTTCTGTGGGGAACCTTGTCATTATGTTGCATCTTCGATATGCTATGATGGATCATCAGCGTTACGTAGTTCTGGAATATATCTTCTTCTATAGAGTTAAGACACAAGATGGTTTGGTGAACATGCGTCCTTTCTATTTGCTGCTTCTGCAGCTTATGGCTTATGAATTTCGTGGGGATTATGGTACTCTCTTTATTTGTAGTCTTTACTTGTATCTTCAAGATATTTCCGAGATGGAGAAGAATGCTATTTTTATGGGAGTTCTGTCAGAAGAAACTAAATGATTACGTGTGCTTCAGATAATTTATATCTGTATCCTTATATGAAACCTTGGAGAATCTCTTGACCTTTCTCATTGCAGCTTTATACTATTGTTCAGATAATTTATATCTGTATCCTTATATGAAACCTTGGAGAATCTCTTGAACTTTCTGATTGCGGCTTTATACTATTGTTCAGCAAGATGACGGGAATCCCAATTCTCCTCTTTCCAATGTTTCTCTGAAATATGAAGGTTATCTATAAGCTCACACATGGGTTTACTATATCTATTTCTTATATAAGACCAGTAGTTTCTACTGTGTACCCCTTGAAACTGGCAAGGATTCAACATTATTGTTCATTATTATGTTACTCATGCTATTCCACGTGATGGTAAGCTTAGCCTCATTATCACATAAGGGGTGCTCTCCTTGTTTCTTTAGACAGACGAATTAGTAGCTAGTTATTAGATCTGCTTTACTGAAAAGTTTTCTTCACTCTCTGTAGGTGGGCGGGACTCTGGAGGCGATGACTTGAGGGATAGACTTGACAGAAGGCATTCTCCGCAGCGAAGTTATTCACCAGAGAGAAATATAAGAGGCCGTCATATACTTCGTGGTTAGGAAGCACTCTTACTTAACTCTTCTGTTGTATTGTTTTCCATATTTTTCTTTCTTTAGTTATGCCTTACAGTAACAAGTATGAGCAAAGTTTGGTGCAGCATCATGTAACTGTTAAGTCTGTTATCGAACTTATTTTGGTTTATAGTTCCTTTTTTTCACTTTTCATAAAGTCTGACTAATGTATTTTTTTTTCCCTACAACTGTCTTGGCGGAAATGAAACTGCAGAATATAGTCCATCCAGGTCCCTTGAGAGAGAAAGGTAAGTTAAATAAATGGATCCCTTTGCAATTTTCTTTCTTTGTGAATGTCACACATGTTGAGCACTTATCCTTCTAATGATCTACTCTTTATAAACAGCACAAAAAAATAAATAAATAAATTAATTAAAAAAATATATATCTTTTCACTTTAATTTTTCCTGATCACTTTAGCGCTTATTTTTCATTTTAAATTCATTGGGGAGCAGAAAAAGAAGGAAGAAACACTTGGATGGCCAAAGCGATTTTTCTGGAAGTTTGAGAATCTCAAATGAGGCTGAAGATGAAGCTAAAGAAGCAAATATTAAACTTAGTTCGACGGGTGTTCTTGAGGTGCAGGTCTGAAATTCTGTTCAAAAGTTTTCATCATGAGTTCATCTATGCTTTCTAATCTTGATTGAGATTCTGTTTTGATATTCTTCCTTGGAATTTGGAGCAGTTAAAGCAATTGCAGTCAGAGATCGACATGCTTGATAACCGTAAATCTCAATTAGGGGTCAGTTCAAATTACCCAAACTTATGTTTTTTATTGGTCAACAAAATTGTGATTTTTGCCAGTTAATTTTCATTTATGTAAATGTGAATATGCCAATCTAATTTTCAATGGTCTTTTGGGCAACTTCTTTTGGACATTGTTACTGAAAATAATTGATAAAAAAAAAAAAAAGTTTGTCAAAATGATACCATGCTGTTGTAGCACTAGTCTGTAAAAAACAAAAAAAATATGTATTTGCATTTTCAGTCGTGCTGTTGTCTCTTGCAAGTTGTTTTAGGTGTATCTTCTTCGGTAGATATCACTTTACTTTCATTAAGATGGTGGGAATATAATGTTGTATTAAAGCTTTTCAGATGGTTATTGAGCACTTTTTTTTTTTTGAAATATCTGCCTTTTGGTCTTTCTTTCTGTTTTCTCATTGCTATTAAACTGTCTGCTTATTTCAGATTGCTGCCATGATTTATTGAATGTCCTTTAGTTATACTTTTTGTGTGCAATGCGTTTGTTATTTTTCAGGTTCACCTGGAAGAGAAGTCTCAAGAAGTGGATAGTCTCACTTCTAAAATTAAGGAGCTTGAGGCTCAATTATACAAAGAGAAGGAGGAATGTAAGAGGTACTGAATAGAGTGTAAGGAATTTGTGTTGCCTGCTACAGGGTAGCGTGTTTACGGAAGTCTTACTCACTGATTGATCTTTCTTCCTCTTCTCCGGGATTTCAAAATTTCAGGATCTCCTACAAGGTGAATAAGTTTGTAAAAGCACATTCTCGTCATTCAAAGATACAAGACCAACTAAAGAGGCAAGTATTTTTTTTAATATTGTAAATACCTCTGGTTGCTTTGGCATTCAGTCATTATTGGAGTTTGTAGAGCTCTTGAAATTTGATAATTGTATTGAAATCTGTAGATCACAGGTCCGACTTAATAAGTTGGGAGATCAGCTTGCCTTAGATATTTATGGAACTGATGCCAATGAAGAGGATTCGAGCATTAATATTGTTAGTGATGGTGAGACTACTGGTTTTCCAGTCACCCCCCATAATGAGCAGCTGAATGATGCTTCTCCAAGCAAGAAAAGGCTGGATGCTATTAGGGATACCGCCAAAGAATCAAAACAAAGTGGTAGGCATTTACATTTCCATGTATGGGGTTTTGTGGATTTGATGAAATATATGGTTTGTTCTTCTCTCAGCTTTGAAGTTTTATATATCAACCTCTTTTTTGTTTGTTGAAAGCAGAATCAGTATAAATAAAAGCCCTTTAGAGTTTAGAGTCTCATCATTTGTGGGTAGTTTTGTTTATTTTCTGTGTGCACCATTCTTAGTCATGTTTAGCTTCTTTTCAAAGAACAAATAGATTTTGCTAATTTAATGATTTTTAGCTTATCAGTTTTTCTTCAAAATTCATGTGCATCATTTGATTACTTGGACTTTGGACTATATTGTTGAAGTTGTTTCCGTAATGGATACCATGTGCGGTTTTTATTATGGGTGCTTACACTTTAGAGATGTGTACCAGCTCATCCAACAAGAGGACATCTGACAACATCTAGCAGACCAAAGAAGCTCTCTCGGTGGAGCATACACCCTACTCAATCAAATTTTGATAAGGAGGAGCCAGTGAACAATGGAATTGGCGGTCCAAAGGTTTTAGCAAAGGAAGGCAAACATGACAGGAGAAAGACTGCTTCCTCAGGCATCCTCTCTGCAGATAAGGTGCATCTTTGTACTTTCTATGGGAAATTTGTTTAATTGCTATACATTGGGCATAATATTTGCTGAAGCCAGCAGCTATATATTTTAGGCAATTTGAAATTCCTGATTCAGTTTAACTCCACTGACATTGCTGCATGCTCTCAATTAATTTAATTTTAATCTCACATCTTTTGTGTTAGAATGAGTTGCCTCTGAACTTCGTCTTCTTTTTCAACCCTGAACTAACATTTTTCCTCCTTGAATGAAAGCTACGCATGTATGCCTTAAAAAAAGGTGCAGCTGATATTAATACTTGCACTGAAATCTTTTGGACAACAAATGTGTAGTTAAAGAGTTCGGAGTCAGGACCTGTCGTACCCTCTACCAGTATGGCTGCCCACGCAGTTGACACAGAAGTTGAATTTGAACTGGAGGATAAAAGTGAGACAGTTGAGAATGGTTCTGCTAGAATTGAGGAAGGAGCTGCATATGAGAGAGGACGCTTTTCATTTCACCTTCCTCCACCACCTCCAATCCTTAGAAATAACCATTCGCAGGTCAGTATTTTTCGTGCACTTTTCATTGTTTATGATTGCTTATTGAAGTTCATTGTTCATGCACCCTCTCGCGTGACATTCTGGCTTTCAACGCAGTGGATATCATCTGTCAAGTATTCAGATCATGCCGTGATTATATTTCATTCTTTTGTCAAATGTTCTTCAGTGTCTAACGGCGTCTCATTTTTTAATGCAGTATGAGGGAGATGATGAGATCATAGATGTGCAGGGAGTTGAGTAGGAGATGGTGCAAGTATTTAGCAGTGAGAAGATAGACTTAGTTCAAGTACTAGCTGTTAGAGACTCGTGTATCTCCTACATCTGATGCCGGCTTTGCAAAGTTATGTATTTGGTGTACAAGCTTCCTCGTTGCGTTACACGGAGCCTATAACTCTACATGTATATTTTTAAGGCTTGATGGATCAAGCTTGATTGCATAGCTCAGTGTAGTAACATACGAAGATATTCTTTCTTTTCGAAGATTATTTTCTTTTCTTTTCAGCGTTCGTCAGATTCTCGTTTTCTAATGCAGTTTTAAGGGGATGGGGATGATGGGATTATAGATGTGCAGGGAGTTGATTAGGTGACGCTGCACTTTCCCTCTCGTTCCCATATATTTCCGGTCGTCTTTCTTTTGCTGGGCAACGATCAGTGCACTTAACATAAGCAGTAACAAGACCAGTTGAACCAAGATCAAATTCAGCCCCATCTCTGGTGTATAAAAGACAAATCGAACGATGCTGAAACATAAATGGGAAAACGGGGAAGCACCAACGTAAAACCAGAAAATTAAATGGTTGATAAACAAGCAGTTTCATCAGCAAGAAAACCGGCGGATTAGTCACACAATTTTGGCTCTTCTCCTAAGCATTTCGGGCACCTGCACTTGAAACCATAATCTGCAAGTAATGCCCGTCTCTCTTCGTAAGGAAGGTCTTCATCGACGTAAGAAATGGTAACCTGGAAAAATTCAAAGTGATCATCAGCATTTTAACACAAGTTCGATAAAAGGATATTGCGACCTTATAAATGGCATACTAGACCAAGTTGGACATTCACTTTCGTACCTCTTCCCCCTTGGAAATCGGCTTAAGTGCAATTATCGTTGCTTGGCCATCTCGGTCCTGGTAATGGAGAACAAGCGTGAATGCAGACGCACAAAAATTAATTAAGGAATGCTTTAAGAAGCTGCAGATGGCGTTTGCTTTAAACCGTGGTTTTGCATGAAGATCTCAATTACTATATGGAACTTGGAAGTTTACGTACCTCCTCTCTTTTGAATGCTTTCGCATTGGGACTACAAGAATGATTCATACAACTCTGCAAAGGATAGAACGCTGTGCCTAAAACAAAATTGACAAAACATTGGAAGTTAATATTTCTCCTCGCCAAACCGAGAGAGACAATTCCACATTTGTTGACCATTAGCTTTTAAAATAGTTTGCAAGGCAAATATATCAGCAACAAAATTAATATATCCAACAGGCAAAGAATGCATGCTCTACAAACACCAATGATCTCCTAGTAAGAGTAACAATAAAAACTAAATTCCACCATGACAAGTTCATGCTTACTGAACACCGTTAGCCCCAAGGAGGTAGTCCAGCCTCGAGAATAAATATGTGAGCATGCAGAAACAAGCATCGAGGTAGTCCAGCACCAAGAAGAATAAGGTACAAAATAACAGCTTGAAAGATTAACACCAAGAAGAATAACGTATAATGGTGAAGAAACTGCAAAAGAGCATGATACCTTGGCAACAAACAGAATAGTCATCACCAAGAGCATCCAAAAATGGTCGTGTAATACCCTCAACTTCTTTCTGTCATGAATAGCAGGAAAATGGCATCAGAACATCCAAATTTTCGAATAAATTAGGTGAAAAGTATGACTTCTAACCTTTTCAGGATTTGGAAGATCATCAATGTACAAAAAATAATCTTCCACTGGAGATGCTACAACCAAATCACTGAAACAAAGTGAAATGAAATTAAAAGCTTGATGACTCAAGCAAATTATATAAGCAATTTAACAAAGCGCATGAATTACTTCAACCACCATTGCTGGCACCATTTTGGATGCATGCACAGTTTATATATTCAATGGACGAGACAGAAAAGGGGACAAACCCTTGGTAAATTCTGACTTACAGATTATTCAACTCAAACATGGCAATTATATGCCCATAGATTTCGAGGGAGAATACTGGGAAGAGTCAAGGAGTTCAAATTTAACTGTCAGAAACAGTAAGCATGATTCTAATAAGAAAACATACGTCAAGTTCTAAAGTGGGTAGGATACTTGGTTTACATTCCTCATCAAAGATGGCTGCCTTCAGGAGTTCAAGTGACTGAAAGATTCAAATATACAGTTAGAACTTCAAATAACAGAATATTATACCAGAGGCATCAAAGAATCTAGTAATATTTTGGATCATGCTGATTATATGAAATAAACATTAATTTGACTTGTTTGGAAGCTCATAATCCCAAATAAGAACATACACATTTTCAAGAGATGACAACAGAATATAGCGCTCAAACTAGAATTTCTAAAACAACCTATCTAGTGGAGAAAGTACTACCGTGAATGCCAACTCTCTTATCTGCATCCTAAATGCAGCTTCATCAGAAGGTTCAACGTCAAATGGCAAAGCAATGCAGTCCCACCACCTAAGAGCAAATAAAATGTGAGAAAAGGAGGAGACAAGAAACCGTCATGTAAACATTTTCAAAACTATTGCACACGTTTATTATGCAACTGATGCCACCTAAAGTGGAAAACTCATTAAAGTGATGTCGTACGAAGTGTACTAGTATTCCATACTTCTGCCCTATGCATGGAAAACACTTCTTCCTTTTCAAGGATAACATAAGGAGCACTTAAGATCGTTTACACAACAGCAAGTCTTCACTATATACGTAATATAGCTACCTTCTCTTGTGTCCCACTGATATTGGTTTCCAAGCTTTTAAGAGTAAAGATAGATGAGGGCTGCCTGCAACATTTGGTGTTTTCTCTCGGTCTTCAGAGTAAGCCACTTTCAACTTCCTGTACTTCAATATGGTGGAAGACACTGCCTGAAAATAAACCAAGGAACTTGGTCAACTAATTGGACTTATATCATATCATATGGTATAAGACTTATCGAGCGTGACAAGAACAACATGTAACACATAAGGTACCACGTACTTATCGTGACAAACTGAGACAGAGAAGTAATGCTACTACCCATGGCGAACCATCCCAAAAACATATCGTGACAAACTGAGACCAAATAGTCTGCAAGTATTGATCAGATAGTTTGCTAGAAGTTCAGACCCAGACAAATAAAAGATTGGAATTAGAATTGCTGTTTGTCATAGAAGGTACCTTCGCAGCAAGGAGGAATATATCATTTGTGTCTGGTAAAAGCCAAAAAAAAAAAAAAAAGGATAAAATTAGAAGACGATAGTGGGAAAATGAATAAGAAGGTAGAGAAGATATAACCTACGAAGCACAGCTCATCCTACCATTGGCATGCTGTATAAATTCTACAAGTGCCTCCCTAGAGATTGCTTCGGACCTCTCCCCGGTGCAAAGTAAGGAATGAGATAAATCCCAATCAGACTCTGCACATTGTTTGCTACAAGATATCGGCACACGATAACAAGTTATTTATTGGGTACTTGATTCACAAAGAGATAAACCAGTCCAATGAAAGAAAGTTCATTTATTATTGCAGTGCCATTGTCATAGACCAACATGCTTCAAACATAAAAATTTGGCTTACCCACCTGCAGTAATAAGCTTCTTTACAGCCACCAGGACATGGAACAACCGGAGGCAGTGAGAACTTATCAGAGTAAGGCAACTTTAGACCACCATTCATTAAAGATTCAACAATCCCTTTCGGAAGAGGAACTTTCTCTTTGTAAATAGAACTGCTAGGCCCAGAGTCATCCAAGTCTTCATCTTCAGCTGAGTAGTCAGCTTCACAGCAATCTCGGCCGGCAGAAACTCCCAATTCTTGCAAATAGAGTCTCCTCCCAATTTGAAGCTCAACAGAGCCAACGAAACGGAAACAGAAACTGCACACCAAACAATCAATCTGCAAAACCCAATTGAAAAAACACACTGAAAACTAAATTAAAATACCCAAAAGCAAAAGATAAAGTCTTTCATCAAAGAAACTCCCAATTCTTGCATCAAGTCTCCTCCCAATTGCAAAACAAAAAACAAAAAAAAAATGAAAAACTGAAAAGACCCAGGATCAAAAATTCAAACTTTGGATCAGAGAAAGTTAGAACTCAAGACCTTGTTGGAAGAATGCTGAAGACCCACAAGCATTTGGTCCTTGAGAAGAAGCTTTCCTTCTTTCAAGTCCGAGTCCGCGTACACACCTGAAGATCAAAGAGCAGATTACAGATCGAAACGAGTGATGGGAAACTTGTAAAATGGGGGTTTTACCTTTCCCGAGCTCTCCGTTTTGTTTGACTGTGATGCCATTGCATTGCCTGCTGCGGGATTGAATGAGCTCGTTCAAGTACTCCTCGACGTCGGCGGGTGAAGGAGGTGTGAGAAGAGCAGAGATTTCAGTGCCCAGCTCTGCATCGATCGGGCAAACGATCTCCATCAAAACACACACAGTAGAAACGAGCGAATTGCTCGCTGAATGATAAATTGCTAATGGCGGCGAAAGGGGACGACTTGCGCCTTTTGTCCTTTTGTAAATTAAAGGCCAATTTTATATTTGACAAAACCCAGTTTTTTCTTCTAAATATTACCGATCAAAGGAGTCAAACTCAAATTATCCAAGCAAAAGTAATCAAGATTACTGATTAAAAACAGGTTTTTTCTGAGATTTGAAATCAATAGACGTGATTTTAAGATTGTACATCATCAATTATTTTGGTGATTTTATATAAAATTATGTTAAATAAGGATCAAAATGACTTGACAAAAATTAAGATTATGTTGGCCATTTTATTCTTATTTAATTAATTTTTTTTTTTAAATGATCAAAATAATAAATGATGGACAAACTCTAAAATATTCTAAAAAATTAATCAAGATATGTAATTGTTCTGTAATGCTACATAGCACTAAGTAGTAAAAAATTAATAGTTGAATTAAAAATAGAAAATTTAAATAATTTTATAAATAAAATATAACCGCTAACATCTGTAACATTGTCACACCACTAAAATGCGAGGGTTGATATGACTGTTTCATTTTATGTGAAAAAAAGGGGATATATTTGAAAGAAAAAAACACCTTTCTTTCATTTGCTTTGCCGACTAAATTAAGATATTTTCTTCACTTTATTATAAAGCCAAATTATGATTGTTGTTAATGCACAAAATTCGAAGGATCTTGGATCAACGTAAGTCTGACTGTGAATCACACAAACGCCCAAGAACACAAAGATGTATTGTGGTTTACCCTCAATATTTGAGCTACGTCCACATTGATGTTGTATGTATGGATTATAATAGATCAACAAGGGAGCTCTCTGTGGATGCAGTCCTTGTCATTTTGCTCTCTGTTTGGCTGGGAGGGTATTGCCCTCTATATTGTTGTGAGGGTTGAGTGTGAGACTATGTGGATCTCTTTAGTGAAGGTGAGGCTGAATGTGAGTCCCCTCTTAGTGAAGGTGAGGCCTTTTTTTATAGAATAAGGGTTTTCTCCCTTCTTACATAAATCATGGGTTTAGGGATGAGGCCCAAAGATGAAGCTCAATATATGGTACCAACAAGAGTCCCTCAAGTCTTCAGTCAAGAGAGTCTTTTAGCTGGAGACTTCAAATTCAATCCATGTACGGGCCGAAGTGGCTAGATGTCTTGAACCAGTACTCAACACAAGGCAATGATCAACATAAAGCAATACTCGGCTAGAGGTATCACACGTTACGAGACTATTCGGCTGGAGGCGATGCGTTGCGAGGCTGCTCGGCTGGAGACGATGCTCGTTGCGAGGCTATGCTCATTGCGAGGCGGCTCGGCTCGTGGTATTCCTCATTACAAGTATCTACTTTATGTTGACATGCACTCATTATGAGTTGATTCTCGATATGATTCGGGTCCGCTTGTCGGATTTGCATATTGGGTTCTTTTAATCAGCAACAATGTTGATCAGTGGATCTAGTTGCTCAATAATTCCTGACAATAAATGACAGTATAAGTATGACCGTATAATGAATAAATCAAATTGATAAAGTTTGTCAAGGCAAAATATTGTACTATATGCCTTCTATAAATAAATAATTTATTCAGTCGTGTGGTAAATCACATGTTGTATAAGTGACATAATTTAATGGCAGTCACAATATTCTAGGCCATGAATAAATATTGCACATGTACTTGGGTATATGTCACTGGGTAATAAATAATATATATATATATATATATATATATTATTTTCATTCAAGTTGTTGATATCCAATTTGGTTAGATGAGGTGATAAAATAATTATATAATGTAAATGGTGTAGTGGGTGTACAGACTTTGCCACGTTTTATGGTAGTGGTCATAAAGTGATCAAAGTAATGATAACCGTTACAAACAATAATAATAACAAAGTAATAATAATCATTACTTTGGAAACTTGGCCACTAGCAAGACATCTCCTTCGTCAACTCCCTCGACCGAAGACTTGGGGGACTCCTACCATATGCTACTGCACCTTGATACTCGGAAGTCTCACGACCACTCAGTGACTTGGATTTTTTCAAGTCTCCAACCGAGAAGTTTTCCTCACTCGGGAAATTAAGGGAGCACTACTTCAACCTACATGCTTCACTCACAAAGCTTCAACATACAAGTTTCAACAAAAGGAAAAATTCAAAGAACTTAGTGAAGAAGACTTTGGTGTATTTAACACAATACGTTGAAATGAAACAAATCTTATTTATTGATATCTCTGATAAGTTACAAATATGTACATATACATGAATCAAAATAAACAAACAAGAGGGAGCCTTCACAAAGGTTGCTCAGAAGAAGTCTCAGCAGTCGGCAGTGCCCCAGAAAGAAAAGGCACCGAAGGGTGATCATTCGGAGCCTCAGTACTGGGCAAAACCCCAGAAGGAGGAGGCACCTGAGGTTGATCATTTAGAGCTTCATTACGCGGTACAGCCCCAAAAGATGAAGGCAATAAATGCCTTTGGAACAAACCCACAAACCTCTAATGATCAAATAAAATCTGACCATCAGATTCCTGCAGCTGGTCGAGCTTCCTCTTCATGTTTGTAGCATAGTCATGTGCAAGCATGTGCAACTGTTTATTCTCATGCTTGAGCCCTCTGATTTCTTGTTTGAGACTTATCACTTTAGCCGCCAATGATTCAACTTGGCAGGTTTGAGTAAATAGGCGTTGGACCATATTAGACACAGAACATGCACACTGAACACTGAAAGCCAGAGAATCCTTAATAGCCAACTCATCAGACTGTTTGGAAAGTAGTATGTTATCTTTGGGAGTGAGAATGTTCATGGCCACCACCGTAACTGTCATATCATTCTTCATCACAGAGTCTCCAACGGTAAGAGGACAAGTAGGGGATAAGAAGAATGGACATCATATGTTGTCTTGAAAAGGCATGGCTGCCTCTTCACCAAAGTTCAAGTCAAAACGACGGTCGGATTGGCCAGACATTCTCAGAAATGAGGTGCAATAAATCTCTAAAGTATAAAAATAAAGGGAAAATTCATACAAGTAATAACTCTCTGAACGTACTTTTTGCACACAATTGGTGCCCCTATAAAAGAAAGGGTAACATGACCGTTGGTTCAAAAATCGAAGAGGCACCATTTTCCAGATTTTGAGAAGCATATTTTCTTGAGTAAAATATGTCGATAATCCCCATACGCAACATCAACTCATCGGGTACCACAGATAACTTTGCAAAATATCTCTGACAAAGTTTAGACACATAAATTTTGAAAGTCCAGCTACCCTACTATTATCCACAAGGGTAAAGGAACAGCACCACTGCTTGATAACTGGAAAGTCCCTATATGTGTCAACATCCTTGCTCTGTGGCAAGGCATACTGGCAAAAATGTCAAACATTTACTCACATTCGAGAAAACACTCACAACAAGATTGCTTGCTCAAAAATCGAAGAGGCACAACTCTCCGAATCTCGAGAGTCAGACTCTCAACAGGATTACTTGCTCAAAAATCGAAGAGGCACCGCCCTCCGAATCTCAAGAGCCAGACTCTTAACATGATTGCTTTATCAAAAATTGAAGAGGTACCATTCTCCGAATCTCGAAAGCCAGATCCTCGACAGGATTGCTTGTTCGAAAATCGAAGAGGCACCACTCTTCGAACTTCGAGAGGTAGATTTCCTTGGATAAATCTTGTCTACAATCTTCACACGCAACATCAGCTTTCCAGATACCACAGACCATTTTTTCAAAGTGCTCTGACAAAGTTAAAACACGTGAATCTTGCAGCTCCCACTACATTGCTATGACCAATAAAGGTAAAGGAACAGTGTTACCACTCGTTGTTGGGACAATTCCTATATATGTCGACCTTTATCCTCCACGGCCAGGTAGACCTGCAAATAAAAAAAATGCTCAATTTTTCTTCACATCCGAGAGAGCACTTTCAGCAGAGTCTCTCGAAATACTCAGCTTCTTTTCCCCCGGATAATACCTCTGCAAACAAGCCACACAAGAGCAAGAGTATCTCATATCATCAGGGTTAAAAGCAAGAGTATCCCATATCATGCTTTTTCCCCGTCTTTTCCTTTGGCCTTGTTCTTACTTGCAAGACAAGGAGAAAGAGAGCAATCAATCAGCACTTGGAATAAAGCTTCTAGTCAGGAACTGACTGCCTGAAACCTCTTGCCTGATTACTTACCTGGCATTGCTCTCGAGTACTCATCTTCAACATCTTATGCTTCCAGAAAAGATACCACATCTGCCTGAGGAATAGATAGGGCAAGTGAGAATGATACAAGGAAGCATGTGGAGATAAGAGTAACAAAACACGTGCTGATACATCCACTACTTTGTCAACAGCAAAAGTATCCCATATCATTATGGTCGAACGTACTCTAGATTTGATGGACTTGTTTTGACCCTCAAATTCTTGAGTCGGCCTTATACTCTGGAGGAAACCAGAAAACCTTCCAGCCCAGTTTAAGAATAAATCTGTGGAAAGTTACTTATTCAAAAGCAAAAGTATCTCATATCATCTCTTCTCATTTTTCTTCTCTTTATCTTTTTTGCTGCCTGCAAGATAGGGAGAATGAGAACAATCATTCGGAGCTCGAAATCAAACTTCTGATCTGGGACTGCTTGCTTGGAACTCTGATTGCTTATCTTGTCTGTCACCTCTTTCGGCAAATCTCCTAGCTTGGCGACTTGGGGGACTCATACTACAAGTAAACTTCAAGTCAAATTGATACATTACCTTGTGCATCTCCACCGGTTAAAGATACCACCCCTGGATGGAGGGAAAGTATTTCCAGAGAAGATGCCACATCTACCTATGAGACAGATAAGGCAAGTGAAGACGATATCACACTTCGGTACTTAGAAGTTTCGTGATTACTTAGCGGCTTGGATCTTACAAGTCCCCAACCGAGGAGCTTCCCTCACTCGAGAACTTAGGAGAGCATTGTTTGTACCATACTATCCCGAAACTACTGAGCACCGGTCAACATTATACCGTCAAGAACCCAGAAGAGTTTCCTTCCAACTAGAAAACC